TTGGGTGTTGGGCTTTAGGGTTTAGGGCTTTAGGGTTCAGGGCTTCAGTAGTGGATTTTCGGGTGGCCGGCTTGCTGGATTCTTGACAACACACATTGCGCTGAAGCTCACCAAATCAGAGTGCCGGGAAACTCTACCAAGCCTACCCGGCTTCTCCTGAACCGAAAGCCGAAGACCTTGCGTTCTCTTGCTCTTATCAGGGATACTTGCCGATCGATGCTGCGCCTAAGCACACCGAAGATCTGATTGATGCGCGGCAACAGTCGAAGTAGCCGGTGGTAGTACTCGTTGAAAGGCGTTTTGAAGCTGACTGCTCGTGTTAGAGTTCTCCCTCAGCATGACAACAACTACAAGGTCGACATTTCGAACGAAAAGGTAGGCACGAATAAGCCCCGGATAGTTGGCGGACTCAGAAACACACATTTGTACCTGAAACCGACATGAGATGCCAAATACAGAAACCAAGTCCCACCTCGGCGTCGGGGAACCGCTTGCCGAGGATCCTTTTGCAAGGACGTGCGGTTTCTGAAAGCCTAAACCGTGGCCTCAGGGGTCTTGAACCCTCATCCCGCACTGAGCACTTGAATCCTTGAGATTTGGGGTTTAGGGTTTAGGGTAAGCCCAATCTAGCAGCTACAGCATGAAGATGCAACTCTCAGTCCTGGAGGAGCCACCGATGCCACAGCCTCGCGGCTGTCGTCGTTTGGTGTGCTTTCGCGGGGCTTGGTTTGGGTGTCCTGGTGAATCAGAAATGCTTTTTGGATGTCGAGCCACGGCATAAACCGGCCCAGGAGTGGGAACAGAGCCCTGCTGAGGTCCTGAGTGTGCGCCGGCCAATTCGCCAAGAAAGGGCACCACGGCCCTGTTAGGGTTAGGATCCTACGCTTATTGTAACACTGTTTGCATGTATCGGATAACAACTCTCCGCGAATTCAAATTACGCGTTGCCACTGGCAGGTTCTGGTACAAGGTCGCGAACACTCTACAACCCTGCAAAGTTCGGCGTCTGCGCGCATGAAAACGCATGGCCTTCACGACGTTTGTAGTAACAGCTGAGAAATCAACTACCCATGTCCCATCACATCACAGTTGAGCACTGATGGCCTGTCCGCAGAAAATTCAGAGTATCCCATATGAGCCGAGGTTACTCCCAGGGTTATAGCCTACGCTTTCTATGACTCTTCCCACTGAATTTTGTTGAGTCTAGTAGCCAGACCCTTCCATCTTAAACTTTTCACCCAGCCGTAAATTTAACACCCAAACCCTAAACCTTAAGCGGTGATGCATGCATAGCATAGCTGGGTTGTCTCCTGCACCTACAAAGTACTCAGCTTCACGGGAAAATGTCTGAGTGTGAAATCCTGCAAACTGCTACAACCAGGGAGTTTCGCAGCGGCTCAGATCCTGAATTTCAAGATGCATTGCGACCCATGCTTGGATCCCAAATCGAAAGTGGACGATATCATCACTTGGGCACGAAAGCCATCCGTGCAGCCCCCGACCGCGAAGCAAGCGAAACGAGAACCGGAAACTTAAATCCAAAAAATTGAACCTTCTAAACTCAAACTGTAAGCCATCCGCGCCTACGTCCAAGATCTTCTTCGGTGCTTTCGCACCTGGGAGTCCAAGGTTTAGGCTTGTTAAACAACTTCGTTCGAGGTTGAGGGGCTGAGCGGGTTCAGATTTGAAGCTGAAGCCTGTGGCTCTAGCCCTACAGACTTTCTGCGGAGGCTCTCTCAGGCTTTTAGCATTTCGCACACAAGAACCCTGTCTTCACCGGTTCTAGGCCAGAGCGACAAGTCGCAATTTTAAGGCTCTGCACATAAAGCTTTGGAGCTTTGGGCCGGAGTTAGGGCGATGCAGGGTTTGAGGTTTAGGGTGTCTTGGTCGGGTTTATGCTCTAGGGCTTTCAGATGTTAAAACAGGCCACCATTACTTGCCCTCAAGCAACGACACTGTAGTGCGCATGTGCCAGGCATGCAAGCTGTTCCATTCAGATCGAGTCACGGCTCCAGTCGATCATTTCGTTCGTGAAGTCTATCTTTGCCTGTCGCAAGAAGACTGCAGGAAGTGTGCAAGAACATTGAGGCATGTGCGGGTTACCATGCGGTTCAGGTGCCACTGAAATAAGACCACCTCGCCTACATCGAGAGCCTTGAGCTGTCTTTGCATTTTTTCTATGGGAGCGGCGAGTGCTTCATCTGCCTCGTTAGCGAATCCCAAATGCAGCATTCTAGCACACCGCCTAGGCCCGTCTCGACGCAACCGAAACCGCAATCTGCAGAGCGGCACATTCTGGGACACTTCCATGTAGAGTGATATAGAATCTACAGAGGAGCCCCTTGGGCGATGAACTCTATGCTTGATGGGTGTGGAACGGCAATTGGGGTTAGTAGATTTCTTATGCAGGCCTTCAACCTTGTTGCGGAGCCTCGAGTGACTGCGCTGGGATTAACTCCTATGATCCCCAAACCGGTTGCTCGATCCATGCGACATACATAGAGACCCAGAGCTCCCTGGACAAGTTCAATTGCAACTGCATGAACGGCTTTTAGGGTTTAGGGTTTAGGGCTTCAGATTTGCTAATCATCCGTGGTTGGTGTAAACGCTACACCCAAGGTGTCCTGACATTCGTCTGGCCCACCTCACCCCTGGCAACACCTCAAGGATTCTGTGTAGGGTGTGACGGCTTTCTCCTGAAGACCCTCAACATCCCGAAACCCTCATGCAACAACAATCATAGTCATTCGCTTCATCATTGCACTCGCTTCGCAACAATACAACAATCCTAAGACGACAATCATCAGACTACTGCCCTACGAGTAGAACAGTCTGTCATAAAACCTCGACCTAAACCCCTAAACCCTAAACCCTAAAAACCTAAAGCCCTAAACCCTCTAAACCCTAAACCCCTAAACCCTAAACCCTAAACTTCCTTAAACCGCCAAACTTAAAACAAAACAAGCCAGGGCGCCTCCTTGAAGTCCTTGAGACGGCCAAAGGTCGCCCGGAAGAGGGCCAGGAAGAAGGGATCCTGCGCAGAAAAAAAGGGCTCCCTTGTGGGTGTACGGTTTAGGGTTTCGGGGTTTAGGGTAGTTTAGGATTTCGGGTTTAGGGTTTAGGGTAGTTTAGGGTTTAGGGTTTAGGGTAGTTTAGGGTTTAGGGTTTCGGGTTTAGGGTAGTTTAGTGTTTAGGGTAGCTTAGGGTTTAGGGCTTAGGGGCTTTGGGCCTTTAGTTAGGGGATGTTTTGGGGGCGTCATTCTCCTCGCTTAGAGGGTGTCGGAGGCAGGGATTCGGGTGGAGGGTTGGGGCTTCAGGGCCTTTAGGGATTGACGACGGGGGAGTTGTAGGGACTGGCGTAGGGTCGTCGGCACCCGGGACAGAATGCCAACAAAGCTGTCCTCTGGGCTGGATACATGGGTAGTTCTCGAAAATAGGGTCCCCTTTAGGGCCCTTCTAAATAGGGGCCCAAACAGGGACCCCTAATCTAGAGAACTACCCACATGAAGTTCAGGATTTCAAATCGAGAAGAGCCCCAATAAAAGAAGCCCGCAGCTTTTTGCTCAGGGCGTTGGTAGGGAAGCCTTTTGTCTCACTCTACACAAGAACGAAGAGAACGACCAAGCCCCAGATACCCCAAAAAGACCTATCGAATTCCTCAAACCCACACAACCCATCAATCACTGCACAAAACCAACGACGACGACTCGAAATCGGAAGCCTCCACCCTCCACTCCCTGGACCTACACGCCTCAGCGGGGATCAACAAGCCCTAGAGCCCAAAACCCCCAAGTCCTCAAAGGAGGAATTAGGCTGAGGCCCCTTCTGAGAGCCATGTGAGCACCTAACATGAAAGAAACCCGACCTATATAAACCCTAAACATCCCTAAACCCTACACCCCGACTATCCCGAATCCCCTGTCCAAGCTCGCCTTCTTGCGGTAGCCACTCTGCTTCTCCATCGGAGTGTATGAGCCTGAAGCATCCGGCAACTTGGATTTCACTCCTTGCTTGGGAATGAGAGCACAGACCTGGCAGTTCAGCATATTTCGGTTTAAGTGCTACTCGGCTCAAAGACATTGAAGCGAGTCTCCTCGATTGGTCAGTCAGGGCCACGGGCTGAAGCAAACATAATGAACCGTCAACCCTCGACATCCGGCACCCGCTTCGAACCTCAAACCCGATGAACCGCCTTGAGTTCCGAGCCCTGAGCCCTGAACCGTCCCTTCATCAGCTGCAGTCGCTCTGAGCTCATGGCCCATGTGGATGTGCTCTCCCCAGTAGTGCTCCAAGACCTCACTCTTCCCGGCTTCAGGCTTTCGTCTGGTATAATATGGGTATTTCTCGAAATTAGGGCCCCGTTTTAGGTCCCCGATACAGTGCGGCACGTTTATGAAAAGGACCCTGAAAAGGACTCTAATTTAGATCACTACCCATATAGAGTTTGCAGGGCTTCAGCGTGGCTCAAGCCCATGGGCTTCAGGGGCTTACGGCTTTAGGGCCTTTAGGGCTTCAGAGCTCGGACTTCAGAGGCAGACTCTCTCCGTTCCCCGAGGTAGGGCCACCCCCAAAAAAAGCGCGACACCTTAACCTCAAACACACACCATGCCTGAACCGCAAAGAGACAGCAAGCCCCTCAACTCCTGAGCTTCCCCAAACCCCACAGCGCGCCCTTCAAGAGGATGCTGAGGTTCTGGCACCTTCTCTGGTCCAGTCATCGTAGGCGCTGCCCACGGATCCATCGCCATAGGGCCGCTTCGGCGTCTCAAACCTTTGGGGGCATCTTGTGGCTGGACACTGTAGGGTTAGTAACAGAGGGCGTTTCGGGCTCACAGGCCGTAGGTGGTTTGCGGGAGATGTTGAATTTCGTAAGGGAGCTGAAGAACACGAGTGTCAGTTTCTTTAGTCGTCATCGGTGCATGTTCTCGCTAGTCGCCTCATCCTCCAACCGCTAAACCCTAAATCCCGAACTCAAAACATTCTGAACCCCGAAGTCCTGCTGAATCCGAACCTCACCCTCTGAAAGGCCGTGGTAGACTGGCCACGGGCTTTTTGTCGACATTGTTGCCATGGTCAAATTCACTCCCGTTTGATTTGTAGTCTCATTATGCCAGGAGCTACACTGCTACACTGAACGATGGCCCCAAAGCCTCATTGGGTGGTCTTGCGTGCAGCTCTCTCTGGGTGGCCTTACTCCAGGGCCCGCCCCTTAGGGGCCTGGGGACTTGGCAAACCGACTCCCAACCTACTTGCCAAGTCCCATGACCCTTTTAAGTATGATTGCGTTGAGTGTGATACCTGAGAGAAGAAACTGGCTGCCCATCACTTAGACAGTTGGGAATCACCACACCAGTACGTTCATGAAACAATGAGGGACAACAGCAAGAATCACATGAAACCTTTGCAAGGCAGCGAGCTCAACCCTAAGACAATTTAGTCGTCGAGGCAACTGCACCAGTACATGTCTTTCTATCAGCCGCGCCACCATGCATGAATCCGCGATGCCAGAACCTCCACAAGGAGAATCAATCAGTTGGGGTCTCGGGCTTTTTGCAAAACTGCAAAGCTCTGTTGGCTCAGGGTCGTGATCAATTTTGCGTCTCAGGGATGCAAGCATTTCGGGGTTCAGGGCTTGGGGTGGTTGGGACTACAGGTCTATGATTTTTGGTCTTTATGCTGGGAACTCTGGATTTAGGTTGCTGCGCTTCAGGATCTTCCCCTGGTTCTCTGTTTCCCTTTTTCGGGCTGCAAGAGACTAGGTGCAAGGCAAGCCTCCTGCAAGAAGACTTGACACCTCTCTTTTTCCTGTCGGCTTGAAGTATCTCCTCACCCTCAGCACCCTCAAAAATCCAAGCAGTCAAACCTTTTTGGAAACCTTAGCAGCCAAAGCCTGCTGATGGGGCGATTTCGGGATCCAAATTATCTGCACGCCCGAAACTCTGAATTCAACCCCTAAACTCCGAAATACAAGCCTCGGAAGCCCGAATCTTAACATTCCTAAACCATGCGCAGTCAAACCCCGAAAACTAGCGCCATCCATGAGCAGACGAGCCAAAATGTCCACTCCGTGGCTTTGAAAGCTCAAAGTTTGGGAGTTGAAAGGGTCCCTTAATCCACTCTCCCGTTCCCACCTTAAGCAGGCCCAGGGATACGACGGCGGACCCGACTTTTCGTGTCAGCGCTGTTGCCTCAACCTGTGCAAAGGACAGACCCGAGGTGTAATGTAATGGGGTTTTTGGTCCGAGGTAGATGGGCAGTTCTCTAACTTAGGATCCCGTTTTAGGTCCCCAATGTAGTACGGCACCCTTATAAAACTGACCATAAAAGGCACCCTAATTTAGAGAACTACCCATATGATTTGGGCTTGGAGGAGGTGTCGGAGTTCTATGGCTCTATCGGCTGCGCGGTGTGGCTTAAGGGATTCCTCCCATCGCGCAAGTATGACGATTTACCGCTGAAGGCACCGTAGCGTGTGAACGCTTGGAGGTTTAAGGTCAGGGCTCGGGCCTTAGATTAACAGCCCCCTGAGGTGCTGCGCCGTGAAGGCCTACAAGATCGAATCCCCCGCAAACCCTAAGACCATAAAGCCCCAAGCCCTAACACCCGGAGTCCTCAAGCCCGACTGCCCTAAACCCCTAACGCCTGAACCTTGCAGCATCCCTCATAGCAACCCTGAAGCAAGTAACCCTTATTGTTAGTTTCTGGAGCCCTTACAGCTACCTTCTAGAACCCTTCATGATAAACGTTATAGTATAACTTATAGCGACCTTTAAGAACCCATTTCTATAGCTACCCTATAGTCCTATAGAATGCTTACAGGAACCCTTTATTGCTACCCTTATCGCCTTACAGTTACCTGTCAGAAGCCCTCGAAGAACCCAACCGCCACCCTCATCGCCACGGCAGCTGCGCGGGCTTCCGCGGGCCGCCTGATCCACGACAGCTTTTGGAATCGCACGTAGGGTTTGGGGTTTGGGGTCTTGAAACCGAAGGGTTGGGGACTCTTGAAAAGAGGGTGTCAGGATTCACGGCTTGGCGGTTTAGGATGGTAGGGCAGGGTCTTAGAAGGTGTCTACCTCTAAACCCCCCGAAACCAAGGTCTAAGGATTTTGTAGCTGCATAGCTAGCGGATTTACATGCAGGAGCGTGCACCATTCCGCTAACGTCTTTACACTCTATATTGTTTGGGAGCGATTGTAGGGAAATCTAGGAGGATCTGAATCCTGAACAGAAAACCCCGAATCCTAAGCCCTGAAACCTAATTTTCCTGAACCTTCATAGCCTACGGGGGAAGCTGCCCGCTTCTGCTCAGGACTTCTCATGATAGGTCCGGGCCGAGGGTTACCAGATATAAGGGCTACTGTATACGGGTACTGGACAGTGTTGTGTAAGGGATACTGTAGGGGGTACGATAAGGGCACTATCTCTTGATGCAAATGAAACTCCTAAGTCCTAGATTCATAGATCTAGATCAGAAAACACAACTCCAAGAAACCGATGCTTGAAGCCTCAAGCACAGAGCCTGAGGGCATGAGGGGGGTTTGGCTTTACCGCCGCAGAACCCAATACCAAGAAACTCAACATTGTTGCAGGGCCCTCGGCTCTTCCAAAAACCCAGCTTCCTCCACATCAGAGCTCGTGAGAACGATCGTAGCCCAAAGCTCTCCCACAAACAATGCTCGCGGGTCGCTTAGAGCTTTGGGCCTTTGACTTGGGTGAAGGATTTCAGGGGCTACGACTAGTGACCTTCGGGTGGATTTCGTGCCTGTTCCTCGACGGGACAAGCATTGAACGTCTCCGTGACAGGGTTTCCGAACATGAAGCCTTTGCAACATGGGCCTTGAGACGAAAGGCTACAATGGCTACACAGAGCCCTAAGCCCTTAAACCTCGAAGCCTCACACCCTCAACATCTGGGGGTTTCCGAAAATATGGGACCCTAATTAATATAGTACCCTAAATAGTAGGATCCTTATTATAAGGACCCCAAATTAAGGTACCCCTAAGTTTTGAAAAGTCCCATCTAAACCTAAGAGCCCTTATCACAAGCCCAAACAAGGTACCCCTAATCTTCGGGAAGTCCCATCTAAACCTAAAGAGCCCAAAGTCCATGGCCTCTTCACAGCTACTCCGGTAGCTACGAGAGCTGCTGCCGCTGCCACGGCCCCAGAGCAGCCTACGCAACCAGCTGCTTAGAGAAGGGTCCTAGGGGTTTAGGGGTTTAGGGGTCATAGGGGTTTAGGGCCATAGGGGTTTAGAGGTTTAGGGGTTTAGGGGTTAGGGGTTTAGGGTTTTTTAGGGGTTCTACAAGGGCTTTTACAGGCAGGGATTCCCGGAAGGGTCGGTGGTCTGTCTCTGCTCGGGTGCGGCCGCGGGCAAACAGGAACCAGACCAAGGGGTGTTCCACGAAAGCTCTTGACTCTTTTCCATTCCGATCATATGATCTACTTCAACTTTCACACCGTTCATGTACTTTGAAGCTTGCTCACTTCTTGTATAGCAGGTGGGGCGAGTTCGAGACGAAACTTGGTGGAAACCCTGAAAACAGTGATCGGGCTTGGTAACTGGAGCATCGTGGCTGCGAGGTTCGCCTCTTTGTTTGCTTGGGCTTGGTCTTAGGCTTCGGCTTTGGAGGAGCGATAAAACAGGCTTCGCCTATAGACGGTGTCAAATCTAGCTTACATGGAGCAACCCTAAACCCGCAAGATGTAACCTGATCGCTAGAAGGCCCTCAAGGGCAGCTTCGGGCGAGCTGAACAAAGGCTCCGAAGCTTTGGTGGGTATTTGGGTGCTTGGACTTTAGGGCGCCATCGGCTTGCGTCTTGGGCATATCAAGCCCCTCTTTAGTTCATGGCTTCAGGTAACGCTTGGGCCGGAGCTGAGGAACGTAGCGGTGTCGGAGAACGCGTGTTGCGAAACGCTAACTTGCAAGAGGATAGACTCGGATAGACTCTGCCGTACTCCGCAAGGCGTGTGGAGGGATCCTCAGTCTCCAATGGAAGGGCTACGGTGGGGTTTGGGCTACTTCAGGTACTGAGGGGCTGTGTCAGGCAGGTCGGGTACAGCACACGTTCAGTGCGGGAATGAAGCCTACAGGAGCTCTGGATCTTAGTGAAGGAAGTGGTGAAGAAGAACATGATGATGATGATGATGTTTGAAAGGGCTTCCTTAACCTGAACCATGGCTCTTAATGCCATAAACCCGCATCCCTTACTACCACAATCAATCCGACCCCCACACAAGAAACCTGCCACAGAAAGCGCAAAGCCACATACCTACCGGGCCCCAGATTGAACTCGGACCAGCTGTCAAATGCCTCGCTCGCTGGTCTCATGGACTGACCGAGGAGGTGCGGAGGTGAGCCTGTCAAAGCAAGCGATCAACCCAACAACTTGTTTTCGTCTGTTGGGGTCTAGGGTCTAGGTGGGTAATATGCTTAGTATCCCCGTGGGTACAGATGATATGCAACATAACTTGAAGGAGAAAGCTTAATAGTCCCTGGGAATTTAGGGACGAGGGTTGTGGCGTAGATTTTTTGAAACATAACTTGAAGCTTGCTTCATTTTGATGGCTTCGCATTGGGGGTTTCGTAGAGCTTGATTTCGTGGTCCAAACGGTGGCGCGCATATCCCTTACCAAAGGGCTTTCTACTGCTTGGGGATATACTGTACTGCAGCTAGATAGAGGAGCCAGAAGTTGGTATGTTAAGAAGGATACGTGTGCTTGGGATTCCTGAAGTGGTGGGTTCAGGTTGTCGAGTCTAGCACCCAAC